TTTTGGAAACTACACCCCACTGTGACATTCTCTAACAAGTGGGCAACGTGTCTAACCACCACAGCCAATCAAATTCTCAACGACTTCGAGTACGTGGTTGTTCCGCCATTTCTTGCACTTGCTGGGCCTGCGTCTCTGTTCTTCCTCGTCATTTTTGAAGCGATCAATCAGCATTTTGCTAATACGTGCAGGTGGAAATTGTGCAAAGCATTTTGGTGGCAGCGCTTTCGACCAAATGCCTGAGACTACTGCTGCTTTATCAAAGGTATGAGGGTTTTCTGCTTGCTGCTCACTTTACCTTTCCAACGTGAATTGAGGAAACCAACCTTGGCGTAGATACAATGAATGAAAATCTGACCAGTACCTTTACGGAGGGTGCAGTGGAAGTTGGAGGCACAGTGATTAGACAGGACACTGCCAAGTTTTCTCAGCAAACGAAGAATCTCATTAGGAAGCGTCAAAGCTGTCAGGTGCGACAGACAAAATAGAACTGGCAGAGCTTTCGAAGTTTATTATTAAGCGTAAGGTATCTGATGTGAGTAGGTATAACATGGAGAGAATTGAACACACCCTGAAAAAAATTGGGATATCGCACGTACAGTGGGTATCGATGATATGCGAAGCCCGAAAGAGAAATTTTGATATGTCACATTAAACTCAGCACAACGTTACGAGGTAGAGGTAAATGATGTCGTGCATGACTTCCGTGTCAAGATTATCACTTTTCAGATTTCTGATTCGTATCAAGATTATCACTTTATCATATTTCAGATTGCGACTTTCATCGCAATCTGAAGTCTGCATCCGCTGACACCAAGAAACTGGCATACGTAACATATGTGCGACCAAAGCTCGAGTACGCGCCGTTAATTTGGCACACAACGCAGTCATACTTTACAGCAGAAATCGAAGCCGTGCCAAACCAAGCAGTGCGTTTTATATCATCGCAATACTCACAATAAATTAGTATAAGATTAGTAAACGCACCCTATCACTTCCAGCCCTTGAATCACGTCGCATAAATGCTCGTCTTTACCTGATTCATTGCTTCTTTTATTAGTCGCCCACAAGACATAAGCTTCTTATGCCACCTGTACGAACATCATCGATATTGGACCCCTGCGAACATGTCCCATTACGAACATAAGTGGTCGCACAGCGACGATGAATTACTCCTTTTTTCCACACGCAATCACCTTAGGGAAGACGCTACCTAATGCCATTTCTTCCTGTGCAGATCGAGAAAACTTTCGCGAAAAACGAACCTGCCAATTTTTTTCCAACAATAGGTGCCAACCATAGCATCATAAATCGTCTTGTCCGCGCAATGCTGTATTTGTTTCTCTTCTCCTTTGTTTTTGTTACTAATTACAGTTATTTGTTCTTTGCGAGACCTGTGCATCTCCTATTTCTTTAATGTGTTCCTACCCAAGGATGTTCAATTGTTCCCTGTGTAGGTTTGCTACAATTATTTGTTCTCTTTATTTTTGTTGGGTGTGATTAGTTACCAATGATTGTATTATACTGCATAGAAACCTGTGTACCTTCCCCCCTTATGTAATGACCTCGGGAAATTAAGGTGTAATAAATCAAATGAAATAAAAAGAAACAGAGTCATAAACTGGGTAACACAAAGCATGATACTGCTTCTTTTTCTTTTCGAGAAAATTTAGGCAGAAATCTTTATTTATTTATTTATTTATTATACCTCAAAAACCCCAGGGAGGGGATTTACATGAGGGGTGGGCAATACAGGGTTTCTTCCATGTGCGCTTTGAAAAGAATGGGGCTGGAGTGGCGCACGACGGGGGACGAAAGGTCATTCCTTTTTCAAAGCTTTTTCAAAATCTAGGAAAAGGGCATCTACAGGAACATTCTGATCTATAGTTGAGCTGATGTCGTTAATGAAGAGCGCTAGTTGTGTGTCACAGGAGAGGCCTTTCTGAAATCCGTGCTGACTGGGATGAAAAAAGTTTACAGAGATCAGAAATTTGACTGTTGGAGAATAAATTATATGTTCCATTATTTTACAGCACACGCATGTTAGTGATATGGGCCGGTAGTTTGAAGGTGAGGATGACGGACCTTTTTTGGGTATCGGAATGACTTTGCCAATTTTCCAGTCCCGTGGCACCACTCCAGATGACAGTGATTGCTGGAAGATGTGCGACAATATGACAGCACAGCGATGTTTGGTATTTTTTAAACCTTTAGAATTTATACAATCAATACCAGCTGATAACGTCACTTTTAAGGAATCATTGACTTGTATGATGCCATTTGGTTCGAAAATGACACTGGGCATAGCAGGGCAATCATAGGACGGCACACATGGAGATACTTCGGGAACTCATGAAAATGCATCGTCAGGTTCATCAGTAAACACTGAGCAAAACGTGGAGTTTAGTGTTTCGGCGACCTAGAACTCTGGGATGGGAAGGTTATCTTCGTCTAATAAAGAAATGGGTTTAGCATGGGTTGGGTTGATAGTGTACCAGAACTTTTTGGGGTTTGTGCGTAGCATGTCTGATAGGGTTGACGAGAAGAACGTCCGCTTAGCGTCCGAGATCATGGATGCGTAAAGTTTTTCAGTCTCACGATATTTTTCCCAAGCATTACTGGATTTTAATTGTTTGGCTGACCGAAATTGTCTTTTCTTTTTGTTGCTAAGTCGTTTCAACGTATTATTGTACCATGGCGAAGTAGGCCGTTCTGTGATGGTGACTGTGGGGATGTACATGTTTATTAATTGCTGCATTTTGTTTTTGAAGAGCTCCCAGTTCTCGTCAACAGAACGTTTGGAAAAATCCACGAGGAACCAATCGGAAAAGGAAGCTAGTTCATCATTCATTTCTTGATAATCTGCTTTGTTGTATAGGGTTATCGTCTTTTTTACTTTTTTTGGATTGGGCAAGTTGCATTGAAAAGTGGCATGAATGACGGCATGATCACTGAAGCTGCTCGGACTAGAAAAGGACGAAACTTTATCTGGTTGGGTTGTGAGAAATAAATCCAGTAAGCTTGATGAATTAAAAGTCGTTCATGTAGGAAAGTTAATCATTTGAGATAAGTTGAAAGTAAGGCAAGTATCTATGAAGTCACTTTCAGTGTTCGGTTTCGAAATTGCTAATGCTAGGTCAGACCAAGTTATCGCCGGGAAGTTAAAATCACCAAGGAGGAGAATAGGGGCGTTATCCGACGCTGACGTTAATAGCTGTAGAGCATCATGAAGCTCACCAACGAAAGAAGGATCGGAATCAGGGGGGCGATAGCAGATGCCAATGACAACGGGTGGAACGGCAGCTTTGCAGTGAATAAAGACTACTTCAAGACTCGAAGGAATGTCGACAGCGCAGCATTGTAAACTGTGGTGAGCGGCGATTAACACTCCACCACCCCGCTTGTTTTTGCGATCGCAACGGAAAATATCGAAGTTGTTGAACAGGGGAAGCAATTCAGAGTCCAAGATAGATGCATTAAGCCACGTTTGGGTTAGGAGAACTAAATTACAGTCACTTGCTTGAATTAGGCTGTGCAAGGCATCGCGTTTGGGCAGTAGACTCCTAATATTAGTATAGATGAGCGAAATAAGGTTTACATTAGACTCGGTACGGACTTTAGCAGATAGCTACGGGGCACGTGGGACTACCGTTTGCGTAGTCGGATCAAGAATGTAGGTGACCTTATTGATGGTTAATTTTTGGTATGCAAGTTTATAGGGTCGGGACTGGGCTTTGCCAAACGCAATCAGCTGCTTGTGTATCAAGCGGGTGTTAGGCGAGTAATTTTGCGAAATGTTATACGTGGTATTTTTCAGCTCATTTGCGTTAGAAAGAATACGGTCTTTATCTTTGAAATGCGTGAACTTCACAATGATCGGTCTATTTTTGTTAGAATAGAAAGATCCCAGTCGATGTGCGCGGTCAATATCACGTGGGTTGATCGTTACTTTGAGCGTATTTTTGCAGAGATTTATGATTAGTTCCTCGGACTGGGCCCAGGTTTCGCGATCCGAATCAATGTGTCCATAAAATATGAGATTATTTCGCCGGGCGTGATCGTTTGAATCGTCAAGACTGCAGGTTAGTTGCGATATTTGTTCGCAATTTTTGACAGTAACTGAGCGAATGACCTCAAAGTCTGCCTGAAGTGTGCCTACGGCGGTACATTCTTTTTGTATTTTAGCAAGCCGTTGATTAATATCGTCCAACGTTTTAACATTCTAGGACAGTGTAGTCTGCATGGCTTTCATTTCTTTCATAAGGTTGTCTTGGTTTAATCTAATTTCATCGAGTGCTGCCAAGATATCACCAGGAATTTCGCTGGAAGCGGAACGTGTAGTAGGACATGGATTTTCCTCTATGTCGCCGGAAAGAAGTAGCAAATTTAGAAAACAGTAGCAGTATTGACACAAGGCAGCAATACAATACCGTGGGCCCGGCAACACTATCAATACATAGTACCGTGTTGCTTTGACGAATATGGAGTAACGGTTAGTTACCTGCACGAAAAACAGGCGTCGCAGGTAAGCGTCCGCCATCCTTGACGTGTTGCCGAGCCCACTGGTGGGACCATGGTTGATGTTCGGGCTTTTATCTTGGCGTTGAATTGGTGGCGTCGGATTGGTGACGTGGTTGGCACGTGACATCCGGGAGGGGGCGAAGCGGGGCAGATCAGGTGGCGGTTTGGCGGTGCATTGCGCATCATCCGTGTGAATTTCCGTGAAGGGCGGCAGCGGCAAGTCGGTTGGGCGTAGCGGCCGAGGGTGCAGCTGGACCAGGCCTCCATCGGTACCGTGAGGCTCGTGCAGGAGGCTGGTGCGAAACACAACCAGGCGACCATCTGCACGAAAAACAGGCGTCGCAGGTAAGCGTCCGCCATCCTTGACGTGTTGCCGAGCCCACTGGTGGGACCATGGGTGATGTTCGGGCTTTTATCTTGGCGGTGAATTGGCGGCGTCGGATCGGTGACGTGGTTGGCACGTGACATCCGGGAGGGGGCTAAGCGGGGCAGATCAGGTGGCGGTTTGGCGGTGCATTGCGCATCATCCGTGTGAATTTCCGTGAAGGGCAGCAGCGGCAAGTCGGTTGGGCGTAGCGGCCGAGGGTGCAGCTGGACCAGGCCTCCATCGGTGCCGTGAGGCTCGTGCAGGAGGCTGGTGCGAAACACAACCAGGCGACCATCCGCACGAAAAACAGGCGTCGCGGGTAAGCGTCCGCCATCCTTGACGTGTTGTCGAGCCCACTGGTGGGACCATGGGTGATGTTCGGGCTTTTATCTTGGCGGTGAATTGGCGGCGTCGGATCGGTGACGTGGTTGGCACGTGACATCCGGGAGGGGGCGAAGCGGGGCAGATCAGGTGGCGGTTTGGCGGTGCATTGCGCATCATCCGTGTGAATTTCCGTGAAGGGCAGCAGCGGCAAGTCGGTTGGGCGTAGCGGCTGAGGGTGCAGCTGGACCAGGCCTCCATCGGTACCGTGAGGCTCGTGCAGGAGGCTGGTGCGAAACACAACCAGGCGACCATCTGCCCGAAAAACAGGCGTCGCAGGTAAGCGTCCGCCATCCTTGACGTGTTGCAGAGCCCACTGGTGGGACCATGGGTGATGTTCGGGCTTTTATCTTGGCGGTGAATTGGCGGCGTCGGATCGGTGACGTGGTTGGCACGTGACATCCGCGAGGGGGCGAAGCGGGGCAGATCAGGTGGCGGTTTGGCGGTGCATTGCGCATCATCTGTGTGAATTTCCGTGAAGGGCGGCAGCGGCAAGTCGGTTGGGCGTAGCGGCCGAGGGTGCAGCCGGACCAGGCCTCCGTGGGTACCGTGAGGCTCGTGCAGAAGGCTGGTGCGAAACACAACCAGGCGACCTTCTGCACGAAAAACAGGCGTCGCAGGTAAGCGTCCGCCATTCTTGACGTGTTGCCGAGCCCACTGGTGGGACCATGGGTGATGTTCGGGCTTTTATCTTGGCGGTGAATTGGCGGCGTCGGATCGGTGACGTGGTTGGCACGTGACATCCGGGAGGGGGCGAAGCGGGGCAGATCAGGTGGCGGTTTGGCGGTGCATTGCGCATCATCCGTGTGAATTTCCGTGAAGGGCGGCAGCGGCAAGTCGGTTGGGCGTAGCGTCTGAGGGTGCAGCCGAACCAGGCCTCCGTCGGTACCGTGAGGCTCCGTGCAAGAGGCTGGTGCGAAACACAACCAGGCGACCATCTGCACGAAAAACAGGCGTCGCAGGTAAGCGTCCACCATCCTTGACGTGTTGCCGAGCCCCTAGAAGCTATACGCAAAAAAAGGCATGTGCTCGCACAAAAGGATCTCCTTTTCAGTTATCTCCTTTGGTGAAAAATTTCTTGTATATTCTGAACTTTCAGCAGGATAAAGTTTTTTTGTAGTTTCAACTCCTACCTCATTTGGATAAATATCATTATCTTGATAATCGTTAGTTCCTTCACCTTCGGTCTGCCTCGTTGTTATGCGCTTCTGTGGGTGACCTCCTTCTTAGCGTCTCGTATATTATCTACCAAACTATCAGTATTCTCGCTTAGGGTTTTATTGAGATGTACAAAGGATGGCAATGGTCTTATATAGGGCATTAAAAATAAACTTCAGGTGTCGTTAGGCACAGCAAGCTTGAAGCCAGAAGTTTAAGGAGAAGTAATCACCAGTAATGAGGGCTCATGATCGCCACCTCAACTAACTATGCAATCGTAGATAAAGCAGAACGGTAAATCTTATTACGCGTGCACAATTCTTCTAGACCAAAGAAGAAAAGTTAGCAACGCACAGAAAAAACAAACTCAAGCCTTATTGTTTTTTGCAGTCTGCTTCGTTTGTCCAGGCCATTGGGATGTTCCAACATATCATAACAGTTTGCGATGCATCCGATACGTTACGCTGCTAGTGTTAACGTCAATGACGAACACCCTTAACTGGTCATATTTTACGCACTTATTTTTAAAGAGGTTCACTACGTTCCTAGAATTCAAGTATTACCCTTATCTTTCAATTTCATTTCATGTTCGCAAATACTTCATGCTGTTTCATATAGTTTATTTTGACCCGTTTGCATTATTACCAACATTGTAGGTATACGTTCTTGTGGTTATTGGCCAAATATTTAGTATAGCAGCTGCAAATACCCCTGCGACTTCTTCTACGTCAACGACAACACAAATCATACTCTATGCAGACCGCTTTCACACGTATTCGTCCAGTGGTATGGGGAAGGTTCCGACATTCAAAGTAGACATGTCAATCCAGTTCATCATTACGCCCAACTTTGTTTGTGAACCTGCTTTGATTTATTGCTTCTGAGTATTTTACCCTCCTCTAGAACAAGAAGCGTGCTTCAAATAAAGGCTGAATAGTTAGGAATTAAAACGCTCCACTGATCCGGCAAAAATAGGCCTGCAAAACAACGTTTTAGGGGCCAGAAATAGGCCGAGCAGATTACAATTGAGCCCTTGTACGCCACAAATATATATAAAGTATGTTTTTAAATAAATAAAAATCTAATAAACGAAGACGTTCGTGGCCTGTAGTCACGACGTAAAATGAAAAAAAGTTGGTGCTTATCAAGGCGAGAATGCACCAAATTTTGGTTTGATAAGTAAAGAAGTAATTTAGCTTGCCGGTGATAGTCTTTCGTCGTGAAAAGAACAATGATCACGGTGAACTGGTACGTGCACTCTTTATTCTCTTTACACTTAAGCTCTGTAAAACACCAATAATTTTTGCGCGGTAGTGCAAAGCACCTAATATGGGTCTGCACCACAGCAGTAGCCCAGCCAGAGGATGGCACACAAATCGTCATCGTCATCGGCCGCACAAATAAAGTGCGCCTAATCATTAGCTATACGTACGTGTAGCGGGTACTTCGTTTATCCGAATAATAACGAATTATCGCATATTGAGAACTTCCCCATACCTCCTCAATGTTAGTGGCTTTGGCATAGTGGGTAGCTTGATATTGTATTAGTAATGGGTGCCCCAAGATAATTAGTTACAATGGTCGCTAAAAGGAGGCTGTTTCATATTCATCTGACAATGTGCTGTAGTTTCTGGGTAGAACTGGTTGTTTTATTTTATTTTTTTACTCGTGGCATACGAACGCTCAATGAGGGAAAATAGGAAAAAAGAACGGCAGGGAGGTTGACCAGCCTATACGCAGCTGGTTTGCTAGACTGCGCATTGGAGGATGATGGAGGAGTTGGAAGATACAGAGGAGAGAATGAAGAGCACACACAGCACATTCGGCAGTCCACGCACGCACACTCAGTCAAAGTCCACTCTTGTATTTCGTGGTGTTTGACATTGCTGTTACACCCGCTTGTTCAAGGCAGTGTCGCGCAGGAATTTCAACAGTGCTTTTGTCACCTTCTGCAGCAATGTCTTCACCAGGGCACTTGAAAGAATAGTGTCCACAGACATTTGGCTGTTGCCGATGCACGCAAGAACGGATGCAAGTGACTCTCTCTGGATGTCATACAATGAAATGTCGCACAAGATGTGGTGTAACATCTTTTCGCGACGTCAGGCATCGCAGATAGCGTTGTTGGCCATTCCTCTGCCAAAAAATAAGATTTTGTGAATGCCACTCCTAGCTATAAGCGATGAACAAGGGTGGCATCTTTTCGGTCGAGCCCAGTGGACATGTGGAGAGCCATGAAAGAGGACAGGTGGTGTTGACAATTCGCCTCGTTGCTTGGTGGCCACCACAGTGAAAACGTGACTTCATGCGCAAGTCGTCGACGATTACTGGCTGCATCGGTCCATGAAAGTGGTATGGCTTCTCCTCGTGTTCCTTCAAGGCACTATCGGCATGTTCGTTCTCTATGACCCCGCAGTGACTTGGCAGCCACTGAAACGTCACATGATGCTCTTTCTCGTGTGAAGAGTGGAGAAGGCATCGAATTTCGAAAACAAGCTGTTCATACGGCCCGCAACACACTGCTGAGAGCACAGATTGTAGGGCAGCCCTTGAATTATTGAAAATTGGCCATTGTTGCGGTGGTTGCCGAGTGTCCACACAAAGTCCAGCGCGCAAAGCAGCTAGTTCTGCTGCTGTAGATGCCGTAGAGGAGTCAGTCCTAAAACTGAAGGTAACACCTCTTGCTGGGACAACTACTGCACCTAATGAACACTGACGGTTCGTGGAGCCATCGGTGCATATATGTACACTTTCTGAATATTTCTCGCGCACAAAAAGAAGAGGCATTTGTTATAGCACGGGTGATGAATGCTCAGATTACTCCGGATCCCTGGTACACTAAGATGCACTGTAAGCCGAATAAGACACCAAGGGGGTACCGATGGTTTCGATGCAAGAGTGAAGCCCGAGGGAAGTTTCACGTTGTGCTTCACAATCATTTTAGCGAACGATGCTTGGCGCCTTTCTGAAGGCAGCAGTGCAAGGTGATAACAAGGAGCACGTGCAAAGTGCCTGATGTGCGTTCTCAAGTCTTCTACAGCAATGTGGGTTTGTACTAAATAGTCACCAGCGATTGCAATTGTTTTCTCTGTTGACGTACATCTGGGCAGACCAAGGCACACTCTCAGTGCTTGGGCTTCCTGTACTGCCTGTGGAACACGAACATTGGTCATGCAGCGATTGCTCAACACGGGCAAGCTATATATCAGGAAACCGAGAAACAAGGCTCTGTAAAGTGCCATCATTGCGTGTACTGACATCCCCCACGTCTTTCCTGCCAGGAACTTAAATAATTGGGAAATATTGGTCGGGCGCTTTTTTATATAGACCACATGCGGTTTTTAGCAAAGGCCCCTATCAATGATGATGCCCGAAAACCGGTGGGTTCTGGCGTAAGAAATGAGTCGCCAGCAGATTGAGATGACATAAGGGGTCATTTCTTTGCGAGTGAAGGCCACCAGTGCGCATTTTCTGGTAATATGCTGAGACATCATTTTAACAAGTAGTTGGCAATTATAGTTGCTGTTCTTTGAAGCTGGGAACGTATCTGAGGACGTGTGACTGTGGAAGTCTAAGCACAAATCTCGTCTGTGCATATTAATATCCTAATGATACTTGGCAAGTTTTCAGCAAGGCCTATTGATGCAAGAACAAATGGCGTCAGCCTGTGAACTCCGCCTTGAAGAACACCCCTGGAAGTATAGTGTCGCGTAGTTGGGCCACCTTCTGCTTACACAAAGAATGAACTTGCAGCCAAGCAACTGAAAATCCACCGAAAGACTCGACTACCAATGCCAACGACCACAAGAGCTCCCGAAATGGCTTCATGTAGTATAATGTCATTAGCGCCTTTCACATCTAAAAACAAAGCGGTAGATAGTCGCTTACGGAATCTTTGGTGCTGAACGTATGAACCTAGATCAACGACATTGTCAATGAAACAGTGGTGCCATGGAATTCAGATAAATCTTGTAGTATTCAAGATACCACTCCAGGTGGCCTTGTATCATCTTTTTTATTACCTTTCCTACGCAGCTGGCCAGTGCTATTGGACGGTATGAGGCAGGTTCGAGTGGTGATTTGCTCTGCTTCAAAATGGGTAACAAGCGGCTTACATTCCGGTCATCAGGAACATTGTCATTCTGCCACCAGGCGTTGTAAAAGCTCAACAGTTCTTTCCTTGCACCATCCCCAAGGTTGCACAAGGCTCGGTACCGAATACCATCTGGGCCCGGAGAAGTTAAACGCCTGCAGAGAGCTCGTACGGCAGCGAGCTCCTCCATTGTAAAAGAGAGGTTCATGTGGTAGTCACGGGAACGGGGGAGGACGTCACCTCTCACTAGAAAATCTGTACGAGTGACTTGGTTGGCGATCTGCGCACAGAAACGTTCTGTGACATCGATGTCTTGGCGCCCTTGAAAGAGCGCGAGCGCTTTGAATGGAGAACGCTTTTCGTAGCGTGACGCAGACCTTGCCCCGTTTTCCGATTGTGTAAGAGTGGCTTGCGAGGGTCTAGAGACTAGCAAAGCGTTGTCCATCATTCCGACTCTAATGTATTCATGTGAAGCCGAATCTTCTTTTGCATCCTCCTGGCTGCCCTAAGATCGTGAATATTTTGTGCGCCAATACCAACGCTCCGCCCGACGTCGAAGTGTTCGGAATCACTCTAACTTTATGTCAAAGTCGTTTCGTGCGGACGATATCTTCCCCGTGGAAGTGGCGTTTTGCATTGTGCTCTTAATTGTTTGCTTTAACCCAGATCATACGCCATCGCTGCAAGCATCTTGCATGTCAGATTTGAAGGTGGTCCATTAGACTG